GACGGCAACTGACTACGCATAGCAAGACGTGCAGCAGCATCGCGTGTGGCCCACTGTGAGCGAACAGTACTGTCAGCATCGGCAACAGGGGCAGCAGAGGCGCCAGACGTGAGATCGAACAGTGAGAGACCATCTTTTCTATCGCACTGCAGAAATAGCTGCAAATCATCGACCCAGACCTCAAAGTCGACAGCCCGACCCTCAGCATCAAAGGTGAGAACACTAGGGGTGGCCATGATAGCAGCAGCAGCAGGCTAGCAGCAGCAGCAGCAGGCTAGCAGCAGCAGCAGCAAGCTAGCAGTGGCAGCAGCAGGCTAGGAGTAGCTCAGCAGGAGAGGCGCGGCTCGGCGGTGCTCTTACCAGGGCCGGGTGGGTAGAGGGCCGCAAGCGGTGGGGCAGGGCCGAGGCGCGCCGGCAGGGACAGGGCCGCGACAGGGCGGCAGAGGAGTGCCGCGCCTTGGCTGCATGGCAGGGCGGGGACGGCAGCGGCGGCTGTCACGGCAGCGGCAGCGGCGGTTGTCCCAGCAGGAGCGGCGGCGGCTGTCACGGCAGCAGCGGCGGCGGCGACCGGTCGTAGAAGAAGCAGCAGCGGCAGCAGGCACGACGGCAGCTGCTGCTGGGGCGGCGACTGTGGGGCGGCAGGGCCGTGAAGAGCCGGGGAGGGGCCGCGAAGGGGCCGCGACGAGCCACGAAGGAGCAGCGGAGGGGCCGTGAAGGAGCCGCGAGGGGCCGCGAAGGGCCGCGGAGGGGCCGGGAAGGGGCCGCTAAGGGCGGCGAAGGGGCCGCGAGGGGCCGCGAGGGGCCGCGAAGGGGCCGAGAAGGGGCCACGAGGGGCCGTCAAGGGGCCGCGAAGGGCGGCGACGGGGCCGAGAAGGGGCCACGAGGGGCCGCGAAGGGGTCGCGAGGGGCCGCGAAGAGCGGCGAAGGGGCCGCGAGGGGCCGCGAGGGGCCGTAAGAGGGGCCACGATGGGCCGCGGAGAGGTCGCGAGGGAGCCGCGAAGGGGCCGCGAAGGGCCGTGAGAGGGGCCGCGAAGGGGCCTTAAGAGAGCGCGATGGGCCGCTAAGGGCAGGGGACGCGACGGGAGGGCAGGCGCACGGGGCGCGACTAGGGCAGGCGCGAAGCGCGCTCCGGGCTGGTAAAAAAAAAATTTCGTTTTAGTGGTGGGCCCTAGGAAACGTTCCCACTAGGGAACCTGCTCTATACCATGAGAAATAATGGGGAATGAATGAACTAGGAAAGTGTGTGATACAAATATGAAACCCTAGAAACTTGTACCCCTTAGTATCTACCCCACTAGAGCCTACAAACACTATGTCATATATATCTGACACTTAGTGCCATCTATGCCTACACCCACCCCTAAAGATGATTGTGTCACACCGCCACCGAAACAAAGGCGGGTAGACGAAACCGCGACTATGGCAGCAGCAAAGCTGGTGAGCGAAGCCATCAACTCCACCAATGCGCACGTGGTGCGCTAGCTACAAGACTCCACGCAGAGCTTCAGGCTGGCGTTCGATTGCAGATGGCCAGTCCGAACGTACAACAGGCCGCGCCTGAGACCGCGCCGCCTCCAGTACCGCCGACAGACACATGCGACGCCAACATGGCGGGGTCGGAGGAGGTGGCAGAGCAGCCTGAGCCTTAGGCGCGGAGTTCGACACACGGTGACGCCTGAGGTACGCGCGATCGATGTGCTCGCCAAAGTGGTGTCAGCGCGCGCGTAGATCGGCGAGCGTAGGGTTGTCTAGGCTCTGCCACTGGTAGCGATCCATGCCGCTCCTCGTCCACCAGCCGTTCGGGAGCCCAGCCCATATGTAGCGGCGGGGGTTGTGTGTTTTCATCCTTGGAGTACTGACGGTCTGCAGCATGTTGTGCAGGATGATGATACAGGCCGTTCCTGCACACACGCGCCAGAGCTTGCTCTCGTGCATGCGCAAGAAGAGCCTCCATCGCCCCTTCAGTGCGCCGATCGTACGCTCAACCACCATCCGAGTCGCCGACTGGACGTAGTTGTACGTCTGCTCCCACTTCTTCATAAGGCGACGGCGTGGTGCGTGGAGGGGGTTGAGCATGTAGGGCTTCAATGAGTATGCCGCGTCCCCCACAAGCTGATAGGGGGCGATTTCCCCACTCTCTAGCCTGCCATGTAGACCTGATGTGGAGAAAATACCTTGATCATGCATAGAGCCCAGATTCCCGACCATGTAGTCCCAAATTACACCCTTTGAGTCACAAGTAACCTGAAGTTGCACACTGTAGACCGACTTCCGATTGTAGTAGTCACCACGGTGGGCCTCCATGCCGTGGATCTCAACATGTGTCCCGTCAATCGCACCGATCACGTTGGGAACGCCTTTGATGGCCTTGAAGTCCAGCGCCATCTCCTCTCGCGCCTCAACAGGAGGGAACTGCACCCAGTCACGCTTGAACTTGCGGGGGAATCAGACCAAGAAGGTATCCACGAGGCGGTGGATGAGTGCCCTGGGCAGTCCAAACATCAGACTCATGTCGTGATACGTCATAGCACTAGCAAAGTATTTTATGGGGATAAGACAGCAGAGCGACAATGGGACTTTGTGTACTTCGACAAATCGAGACATTGGGAACGGCATTTTGTCAGCGATGAGGTCGAGAACTTCCCGCGTAATGCGGAATGTGTCTTGAAACTCCTCGTCAAACATGGCGCGTATCTCCTCAACCCATTCTGCGACCCGTGCCTGGCGACGCCGTTTCCGCTTCTCACGGCGGGCGGTTTCATGGCGCACGCGCTCCTCATCCTCTACCTGTGCCATAGGAAGGATAGTGGAAACCCACTCTAAAGCGGCTAGAGAAACTACACGCTGCCAGGTGTTGAGGAGGTACTCATGCCAGAGGTGTAAGGCCACACATAGTATGAGCACCTGTGCGGTGACCATGGTTTATGGCCACCAGGTACCCGTCCAGTGAGCAGTGGGGTTCCCATTAAGAGCTGTGTTACGTGCCATCGCGGGGCCGCGGCTATGTTGAAAGCGCGCTGGAAGTAAGGCGCTTTGGCGGGGAGCCGCCTGTGTTTTTATACGGGGCGTCTTGTGCGTTGTTGCGAACTGCGTGGTGTCGACTTGAGCAGCTGTAAGACTGGTCACACTTCTGTTTTGCTGGTTTGTTTACAAGTTTTGTGGTGTAGTTGAGACATTGATGGGCGTGAGTACACAAAAGACGTCCGTCTACAAGGGGGCACACAACATGGGGTCGCAGCACAATGTGATTGGTGGGGGACACATTTTGGGTGATGGTCGCATGCAGTTTGATTGATGACCAAAAGTTCGGACCGCGCGCGCCTCGACACTCCACTTTGGGTCATGCGATAATTGCGGATGACCCAAACAGTGGAATGAACAGTGCTCATGACCGGAACCAGAGATACGCCCTAAGCTTGCCTCTCCAACGGTCGGTGTCCATGGCACCCCCGTTCCGCTGGATTATACGCCAACGGAATGAAACCCCAATCTTCGGTGTCCATGGCACAGTGTGTACCTCCAACGTCGCCTAGCGAATGCAACCCCCGTCAGCTTCCCCGCGCGCGAGCACCTCTTCGCCTCCAAATTAACCCAGCGAAACGGGCGGCGAAGCCAGCGAGGGCTCCCCACGCCGAGCCCTGCCACACATTTTACCATTTCCATCGCGTCGCTTTGGAATCTCGCATCTCCCATCCAGGGTTGACCAAATTTCCATGCGTGGCGGCGAGCGAGTGTCACCCGCTCCACGCCATGATAATTGCGGCGATCCAACTCGTCCTGTACTGCCCCATCCATCGCGCCTACTTCTCTCGCGCTCCTGCCTGCCCCCATCCATCATCGCCTCGCCGGATGCGTGAGATCCTCCTGCCGTGAGCTCTTCGACCAATCCCCCTTGCACGGGAGTTCGTCGCACTGATGCCTCTTTTCTCCTTCCAACGGAATCGTTCCAAGGAGTGTGGTACCTGGCAGGTGTTCCCATAGCTCGCGTCGTCACCTGCTGACAGAGCTCCGGTTCCGCCGGGTAGTCAATCGTCTTCTCTTGCACAGAAGTCGATGCAACGGCTCTAATTGAAGGAGCTTGAGAGCAGAGTAAGTCCGTTAGTGACCGTAACTTGGTGCATATATAGCGGAAGGTGAACCTGTGAGACGTGTTATGTCTGTTTCGCAGTCTGTTTTTTTTCCATCTCCTTTTGCTTCCTCGCTCTTTCCGCCTTTTCAAGTTGAGACGGCAAAGGTCAATCAGCAGTAATAGTATAACAGCGCCGGGGGTGATAGCAATCAGCTTCTCGACTGGCGATCAGTTTCGCAACCGGCGAAGTTCTTGCACTACTGAAGTACCTACAAAGTTCTCTCACTACTGAAGTACCTACTGAAGTTCTCTCACTACTGACAATGGCACCGAGTTCTCGCAGTATATCGCTAGCAGAACTGGCGGCAGCATATCACTGATGCTGGCCCTTTCGATTGTATGCTCTTCGTACCAGAGTCCCATTCCTATTCTCGCTTCTTTTACTCTTCCGTGGCAATCCCTCCATCCGCTGTCGCTTTGTCGCTCAACAGAAGGCGAATTTCGCTCAACGAACTGTTGTTGCTAGACCTTGTGTGACCCTGCCGCACGCCTGTTGCTTTACGGACTGCTCCTTGCCCTCTTCCTTCCCCGCGTTTTCGACCCTCACAAATGGCAAGGCTCTCTCCAGTTAATTTCGCCCCCCCAATCCAGCCCTCAATCCTCAACCAACGCGCTCTGGTCCCCCTGTCGTCGCAGGTGCTCCAGTTGCGTCTGACTACAGCGGGGACAGATTTGTCTCCCTCACCCAGCCCTCAATTCCCTCACCCAACACGTCCTGATCGCTTCTCCTCGCAGGTGCTCCAATCGCGTCTGACTATAGCGAGGACAGATTCGTCCCCACCTCACCATGTGGACTTTGAGTATTCGGACACGCTTTGTGGCACGGCATGGCGGGATAACTACATCCGCCTGCACTCCGCCATTCGCTCCGCTAGTGCCGCCGCCTACACTCCCCCTCCCTCTCCTCCTCCTCCTCCTCCTCCTCCTCCTCCTCCTCCTCCTCCTCCTCCTCCTCCTCCTCCTCCTCCTCCCTCCTCCCTCGTCTCCCACTCCTCCCGTCGATTGCACTCTCTTGCAAATTCCCCACCACCGCTACCACCAGCTGCAGCAGCAGCATCAGCAGCAGCAGTCCCAGACCCAAGCCTGTCAAATCAGACCCTCCTAGCTTCCTCCATTCGCTTCCTCACGTTCGACCAGGCGGGGCACTGCGGGGGCTTCGGGGACTTTTTAGTGGGCCTTGTCTCCTCCTTTGTTGCCGCGCTCTTGGACCGCAGGGCGTTTGTGATTCGGCACGATTGCATCCACTTCGCGTTTGAGCCCGCATTCATCGACTGGCGACAGTCCCCTGTGAAGATTGGGAGAAAACAAACGAGACTCTAGCGTGGTTGTGTAATGGGTGCGCGGAGTTGGCGTGGTATGCGAGTCATGATTTGCCGGTAGAAAACGCGGGGAACTGTGGAGTGGTTGAGGGTGAGAGGCGGGCGTTGGGGCTCATCTAATGCACATGGTGAGGTACACTGTCATTGCGTAAGGTGTTGCGTAATGTCACACTGGAGCACGGCATTGAGCACAAAACAAGGGATGGATCAGTGTGGTGCTGCAGGAAGGGAGGACAACGGACGCACGCATGCACCCACGTGCACGCAGTGGGTAAATAGAAGAAAAACCATTGGGAGAAGGGAGGCTATGGCAGAGGGGGTAGGGTGGAAATAGCACGGGGGGGAGGGAAGATATGGCAGTGGGGGGAAGGGTTGATAAGGCAGTGGGGGAATGGAGGGTATGGCAGTGGGGGAAGGGAGGTTATGGCAGTGGGGGAAGGAAAAGGGCATGGCAGTGGGGGAAGGGATGATATAGCGTTGGGGGAAGGGTTGATATGGCAGTGGGGGGAGGGAGGATATGGCGGTGGGGGAACGGAAGAAAACACAATGGGAGAAGGGAGGCTATGGCAGAGGGGTCAGGGAGGATATATTGTGGGGGGACAGGGGGGTATGGCAGTGGGGGTAGGGAGGCTATGGAAGTGGGAAAAGGTAGGATATGGCAGTGAGGGTAGGGATGATATGGCATTGGGGGTAGGGATGATATGGCAGTGAGGGTAGGGATGATATGGCATTGGGGGTAGGGATGATATGGCAGTGAGGGTAGGGATGATATGGCAGTGGGGTTAGGGATGATATGGCAGTGGGGGTAGGGATGATATGGCAGTGGGGGAAGGTAAAGAGCATGGCAGTGGGGGAAGGGAAAGGTCATGGCATTGGGGGAAAGGATGATATAGCTGTTGGAGAAGGGAGGATATAGCAGTGCGCGGAGGATTGAAGAGGCAGTGGGGAAAGGGAAGAAAAAACAATGGGTGAAGGGATGCTATGGCACGGGGGTTAGGGAGGATATAGCTTAGGGGGAAGGGGGGATATGGCAGTGGGGGTAGGGATAATATGGCAGTTGGGGTAGGGATGATATGGCAGTGGGGCAAGTCAAAGGGCATGTCAGTGGGGGAAGGGAAAGGTCATAGCATTGGGGGAAAGTATGATATAGCAGTGGGGGAAGGGAGGATATAGCAGTGTGGGAAGGGAGGATATGGCAGTGGGGGAAGGGAATAAAAAACAATGGGAGAAGGGAGGCTATGACAGTGGGGTTAGGGAGGATAAAGCTTGGGGGGAAGGGAGGATATGGCAGTGGGGGTAGGGATGATATGGCAGTGGGGGTAAGGATATTATGGCAGTTGGGGTAGGGATAATATGGCAGTGGGGGAAGGTAAAGGGCATGGCAGTGGGGGAAGGGAAAGGTCATAGCATTGGGGGAAAGGATGATATAGCAGTTGGAGAAGGGAGGATATAGCAGTGCGCGGAGGATTGAAGAGGTAGTGGGGAAAGGGAAGAAAAAACAATGGGTGAAGGGATGCTATGGCACGGGGGTTAGGGAGGATATAGCTTAGGGGGAAGGGGGGATATGGCAGTGGGGGTAGGGATAATATGGCAGTTGGGGTAGGGATGATATGGCAGTGGGGGAAGTCAAAGGGCATGTCAGTGGGGGAAGGGAAAGGTCATAGCATTGGGGGAAAGTATGATATAGCAGTGGGGGAAGGGAGGATATAGCAGTGTGGGAAGGGAGGATATGGCAGTGGGGGAAGGGAATAAAAAACAATGGGAGAAGGGAGGCTATGGCAGTGGGGTTAGGGAGGATAAAGCTTGGGGGGGAGGGAGGATATGGCAGCGGGGGTAGGGATGATATGGCAGTGGGGGTAGGGATATTATGGCAGTTGGGGTAGGGATAATATGGCAGTGGGGGAAGGTAAAGGGCATGGCAGTGGGGGAAGGGAAAGGTCATAGCATTGGGGGAAAGGATGATATAGCAGTTGGAGAAGGGAGGACATAGCAGTGCGCGGAGGATTGAAGAGGTAGTGGGGAAAGGGAAGAAAAAACAATGGGTGAAGGGATGCTATGGCACGGGGGTTAGGGAGGATATAGCTTAGGGGGAAGGGGGGATATGGCAGTGGGGGTAGGGATAATATGGCAGTTGGAGTAGGGATGATATGGCAGTGGGGGAAGTCAAAGGGCATGTCAGTGGGGGAAGGGAAAGGTCATAGCATTGGGGGAAAGTATGATATAGCAGTGGGGGAAGGGAGGATATAGCAGTGTGGGAAGGGAGGATATGGCAGTGGGGGAAGGGAATAAAAAACAATGGGAGAAGGGAGGCTATGGCAGTGGGGTTAGGGAGGATAAAGCTTGGGGGGAAGGGAGGATATGGCAGCGGGGGTAGGGATGACATGGCAGTGGGGGTAAGGATATTATGGCAGTTGGGGTAGGGATAATATGGCAGTGGGGGAAGGTAAAGGGCATGGCAGTGGGGGAAGGGAAAGGTCATAGCATTGGGGGAAAGGATGATATAGCAGTTGGAAAGGGAGGATATAGCAGTGCGCGGAGGATTGAAGAGGCAGTGGGGAAAGGGAAGAAAAAACAATGGGTGAAGGGATGCTATGGCACGGGGGTTAGGGAGGATATAGCTTAGGGGGAAGGGGGGATATGGCAGTTGGGGTAGGGATGATATGGCAGTGGGGGAATGTAAAGGGCATGGCAGTGGGGGTAGGGAAAGGTCATGGAAGTGGGGGAAAGGATGATATAGCAGTGGGGGAAGGGTTGAAATGGCAGTGGAGGAAGGGAGGATATGGCAGTGGGGGAATGGAGGATATAGCATGGGGGGAAAGGGGGGATATGGCAGTGGGGGTAGAGAGGATATGGCATGGGGGGAAGGGTTGATATGGCAATGGGGGAAGGGAGGGTATGGCAGTGGGGGAACGGAAAGGGCATGGCAGTGGGGGAAGGGAGGATATAGCGTTGGGGGAAGGGTTGATGGGGCAGTGGGGGAAGGGAGAGTATGGCAGTGGGGGAAGGGAGGATATAGCAGTGCGGGTAGGGAGGATATGATGATGGGGGTAGGGAGGATATGGCAGCGGGGGAAGGGTTGATATGGCAGTGGGGGATGGGAAGAAAAAACAATGGGAGAAGGGACGCTATGGCAGTGGGGTTAGGGAGGATATAGCTTAGGGGGAACGGGGGATATAACAGTGGGGGTAGGGAGGATATGGCAGTGGGGGAAGGAAAGGGATATGGCAGTGGGGGAAGGAAACAGATATGGCAGTAGGGGTAGGGAGAATATGGCAGCAGTGGGGGAAGGGAGGATATGGCAGTGGGGGAAGGGCAAGGGGCTGTATATTACCTTGCTCTTCCCTTTGTGATCTAGCCCGCTGCTATGTGTGTTCCACCTTTTCGGGCCATGCACGAGGCGCACTGGCCTTAGGCATTGTGCTCCTGCTTTGAGCATTTCTTCCCCTTTTTCCACAATCTATGGCCCTTCCTCAGACCCTGCCAATTCTCTCAAAATAATCCCGCCCATTCACACTGGCTTGTTGCCCCCATCTGGCTCATCTCACCCCGTGAACACATCAGGTCAACTGGGCCATCTTGTTGCGGCAGTGGTGCCCTGCTACTCCTCTTCAAGGGGTGTTCCCTTCTTCACTCCTCGTACATGTCCAGCTCATCTCTCTGTCCAAGTTGTCGCTACTCACTTGAAGTTTAGTTCGGTGTCAGCTGTCCTACCGTTTTGAAAGCCATTGATTCCAGCTGGCCACATGTCACTCGATCCGTCTAGCCAATGTCATCCATCCAAATTATGCCATCCACCCAGTCCATGCCATCCGTCAACTTCCATGGCATCCGTCAATTTCCATGCCATCCGTTCAGTCCAGGCCCACCCCCCCGTCCTTGCCATCCGTCCTGTCCATGCCATCCATCCAGTCCTTACCACCCATCCTCCCTGCATCCAGTCTATGCCATAAGTGGTGTCCTCGGCATCAACCTTGTTATCTCAATAACTATGCCTTGGCATTCTCACAACACTCGTTTGCCCGTCTCCATGCCTCATTAGCCGTTATGCGTGCTTCTAGTTGGAAACGGGAAACAACAAGGCGGGTTAGGAATGAGAGTGCATCACTCCATCACTTCATCCCGTACCCCTCAAACAGATTTTCTACGATTGTCACCATGGACAATGTCAAACTCATATGCTATAGTCTGTGTAGGCTGTAGTGGGGTAGACAATATGGGGTACAACACTTTTAGGTTTTCCTACTTGTACCCACCTGCTTGCTAGTTCACTCATCCCTCGTTCTTTCACATGGTATAGAGCAGGTTCCCTAGTGGGAACGTTTCCTAGGGCGCACCGAATATCGATTTTTTTTCCTGCCCGGAGCGCGCTTCGCCCCTGCCCGAGTCGCGCCCCGTGTGCCTACCCTCCCGTCGCGTCCCCTGCCCTTGGTGGCCCGTCGCGCTCCCCTAAGGCCCTGTAGCGGCCCCTCTCACGGCCTCTCACGGCCCCTCTCACGGCCCTTCGCGGCCCCTTCAGGCCCCTCGTGGCCCCTTCGCGGCCTCCCTTCGCGGCCCCTTCGCGGCCCCTTCACAGCCCCTTCGCGACCCCTTCACGGCCCCTTCGCGGCCCCTTCACGGCCCCTTCGAGGCACCTTCACGGCCCCCTCGCGTCCCCTTCGCGGCCCCTTCGCGGCCCCTTCACGGCCCCTTCGCGGCCCCCTCGCGGCCCCTTCACGGCCCCCTCGCGGCCCCCTCGCGGCTCCCTCGCGGCTCCCTTCGCGGCCCCGCCCCGCTGCCCGTAGCGGCCCCGCCCCGTCGCCAGTCGCGGCCCCGCCCCGTCGCCAGTCGCGGCCTCGCCCCGTCGCCAGTCGCGGCCCCGCCCCGTCGCCAGTCGCGGCCCCGCCGCGACACCCCTGCGGGACCCGCGAGGCGCGGCTCCTGTG